TTTTTTGAGTTCCGCACCCTTTGTGTTTTGTAACAACAACTGTCCACGTCTCAAGCAGGCGGCGGGCGTGTATACGTGACTTCCCCCCCACGGTATTGCCACGTGTGTTTTCCTATAAAAGCCACCAGACTACTTCTAAGTTCTAAGTGATGCTGTTAAAAGTTCACACATGGGGTCAGCTGCGCCACACAATGGCAATAGGCTGGATCCGGTTTAGTACAGGGCGAAAGTCTGCCGCCAGTCCTCACTGTAGTAGGGCTGTCAAAGCCAGGGGTTCTTCTGTCTACCTTCACGGATGGAAAATTTGCACTGCACTGCCAATCCGTCTGCGTATTCCACTCTCGAAACACCCCCTGATGAGGTCGCTACTGGCGGCGACCGAAACTAGTCGGGGATGCCAGCTCCTCAGTCTTGATGGCGGAGGAACCATAGCGAAAGCTATGATATGAGCTTCATTGTATATCTTTGGTTTTCGAGATCTTTTTCACATGCTTCGGCTGCGTTTGCGGCTATGTGTTTTGCGTTCACGTCGGTCCTATCCGACTCTGCTTTCTCTATTACTACTACTATTCCACTCTGCCAAAAATACAACATGCATTTCAAATTTTCAATACTTGACGGAAGTTGATGCTGACGCAGAGTTGTGAACGAACGTCATATAGAACAGGGAGTGATGCTTTCTCTGTTCTGTAGAGAAGGGAAAAAACGACTTGGGCATAGTCAGTAGTACTCACAATGGGATGTTTTCGAGTCAGCTGGGGCTGCAATTGCTGTCACATACATCCGTGGAGGTTCATAATTGCCGCCAGATACGTCCAGGAAAGTGATACCGTCTTCACCCGAATAAAATGCCCGGTAATTATCGCTGCATCTGGACTGAAAGTTGTGCCAAATGCAGCTATGAAAAATGACCACGCTTTTTATTTGGGTGACGACGACGGTAGTGTGCGTACGCTGTTACAGATGTATTTCTTCCTTCAGGTACTTCTTGTTCCCACCAACCAGCTGCCGGAAAATATTTTGACTACTGAACAGATGGCTGTTATTTCATCTCCATGTGTATGCATGTACACGAAGACGTGAGTTGTACTGAATACTCAGTACGTTATACACCACATCGAAATTCGAATCTATCTTTTTGAGAAGGATAATCCACTCCACAGATATCGATTACAACTTGAAATCTTGTGTTCGTTTTTTTTTTTTTTTTTTTTTTTTTTTTTTTTTTTTTT